CCTCACGGTGTCACAAGCACACCCAACCTCACGGTGTCACACACAGTCACATGTCACCTCTCACATATGCAGTCCCACTCAAACTCTCCTTGTCACACACCATCTCACGGGAGTGCGCTCACACGGTCCTCCGGGTCGCACACCATCCCGGTGTCACCCGCGCACTCCACAGAGTCTCAAGCTCTCGTCACACCCCTTCTGGCGCTCACACTCAGCCCTCTGGGCTCTCCAGACCGCTCCCGACCGGCCACACGGGGGCGCTCGCGGCCTGCCGAGCCGCCCACCCGGCCCGCGCCAAAGCCACAGGAAGAGGTAGAAAAAGGCCAGGCCAGGCGCCCCCGCGGCCTGCAGGAGATGGCAACTGAGACTTGGGAACCAGAGAAAGACAAGGGATGCGGGGATGTAGGGGTGGAGGAAGGTCGGGACCAGGGGGAGAGAACGGAAGACGGACTGGGACAGAAACTCAGAGACGCGGAGAGAGAAGGTAGAGACAGGTGGAGACCTAGGGACTGAGAGAGACAGAGACGTGGAGAAGACCGCGGACAGACAGGGACAGACAGGACACCAGAGAGACAGAGAGGACGCCCGGAGAGACATACAGACCGAAACGTAGAGTCAGAGAGAGGGACGAAGAAACCCATTCACACAGAGACACAGAGAGGAGGGCAGAGAGGCAGACAGAGGGCGCCTTCCACAAGCCACCGGCGCAGAGGCGAGCCACGGGGGCGTGGCCCTGGGCGGGATTTGTAAGGAGGCGTGTCCGGCGTGTCGCCAGGTGGGCGTGGCCTGGCGGAGGCGCGCTCCGAGGGCTGGTCTCGGGGGTTCCCTCCGGTCCGGGCTACACCAGACGGCTGCGGGGCGGGGCCGAGGCGGGAGTCGTGGGAAGAGGTGGAGGTGCAGGGAAGAGCGTCCACCGCAGTCAGCCCGTCCCAATCCGGGTGTAACCGCGTGGACAGGGAGGCAGGACGGTCGAGGAGCGGATACCGGCCCGGGTCCCTGGAAGTGACTTGGTAGGGAAGCATCTGACCCTGGCTTGCAACGCGGCCAGGTGGGGGAGGGGACCGGGCCCACATCTGGAAAGCATCAGGCGCGCCGGACGTGCCAGGGTCCCGGGCCGGGCTGCGGAAAGGGGGAGGGGAGCCAAGGCGCTCCCCCTACCCAAGCCCCAGAGGGGTCTGCCGGCGCCGAGGAGGGGCCTGGGCGTGCGCCGAGCTTCGGCGTCGCCCGCAGCTGGTTTCCATCAGCAGTTCTGGCTTGGGCAGCCCCCAAGGAGGAAACCCAGCTTAGAGCCAGGGAGGACGAGGTGACGACCCAATCTTCCCGTTCTCTTTCGACCACGGCCGGAGGCTGGGGGTTGGGGGAGGCAGACAGACGGACACTGCCTGCAGCGAGCGTAACCTCCATGTCTCTCCCGAGCTGCAGACCTTGCGGTTAATCTTAGTTCTTGTCCTATGCTTGCACAGGAACCGCCCCAGCCTCATGGCAACCTAATGCTCGATGGTATTATTGTCCCCATTTTTTGGAAGAGGAAACGGACCCTGGATTCGGATTCAGGTCTGACTTTAATTATTCAAGAAATGATCGACGAACGGCAATAATGAATTCTAGGAGCAAATGCCCAGTCGCCTACTGAACACCTCCACCCGGATGTCTAGTGGGCATCTCAAACGCAGCGCATCCAAATTTGAGTCCCTGATTCCACCCGCCAGACTTCCTCCTACCTCAGGCTTAACCGTCTCTATTGATGGTGAGTCTGTGGGGTCATCCTTGACTCCCCTCCTCCTCTCACACTCCACAATTACCTAGCAACAAATATCATTGGTTCCATCTTTAAAGTATCTCCAGAATCCAATCACTTCTCACCTCCTCTGCGGGTCCAGCCACCATGCGCTCCAGCTTGGTCTATGCCAGTGACCTCCTCCTTGGGCTCCTGGCTTCTCCCTCTGTCCCTCTCAGCCTGTACGCCACAGAGCAGCCAGAGGGACCCTGTTTAAAACTAAGTCTCCAGAAATAGCAAGTAGTAGCAAATATGTGGAGAAATCTGAACCCTCACACCCGGGTAGGAATGTAAAATGGTACAGTCACTTTAGAGAAGAGTCTGGCGGTTCCTCTAAAGGTTAAACACAGAGTTACCATAGGACCCAGCGATGTCACTCCTAGGAATATACCCAAGAACAATGAAAACATATGTCCACACAAAAACTTGTACGTGAATGTTCACAGCAGTGTTATTCATAATAGCCCCAAAGTGGGGACGATCCACGTGTCCATTAACTGATGAAGGGACAAACTAAATGTGGTGTATCCAGACAATGGAATCTCATTTGGGAATAAAAATAAATGTACTGGTACAGCCTACAACATGGATAAACCTTGAAAAACAGTATGCTGAGTGAGAGAAGCCAGTCACAAAAGGCCATGTGTTGTGTGATTCCGTTTATATGAAATGGCGGGCCGGTTAGCCCAGTTGGCTAGAGCACGGTGTTGTAATACCAAAGGTCAAGGGTTCGGGTCTCTGTACTGGCCAACTGCCAAAAAAGTAAATATGAAATTGGTCCAGAGCTGGCAAATCTGTAGAAGGCAAAAGTACATTAGTGGTTGTTGGGGGCTGAGGAGATTGGGGAATGCCAGCTAAAGGGTGCAGGGTTTCTTTTGGGAGTCTTGGAAATGTTTTAAAATTGATTTTGGTAATATTTGCACAACTTTGTGAGTATACCAAAAGCCATTAATTATATACTTTACAATAGTGACTTTTATGGTATGTGAATCATACCTCAACAGAGCTATTAACTACCCCCCCCCAAAAGAACAAACTAAACTCCTCTTTTGCTCGGAATTTTCCCATGGCTCCCACCTCACTTGGAGTAAAAACCAAAATCCTCAGCATGGTGCACGGGGGCCCACACGATGTGCTGGTCTCTACCGCCGATCTGAGCTCATCTCCTCCCACTCTCCTCCCCACTGCCCCCGCTCCAGCCACACTGACCTCCTTGCTGTTTTGCCAACATGCCAGGAATGGTTTTGCCTCAGTGCCTTAGCACTGGCTATTCCCTCTGCCCGAGTTGTTCTTTCCCAAGATATCCACAAGCCTCACTCCCCAAACTCTCAATTAGAACATTCCTGATCACTCCACTTAAAGTTACGAGCTCCCCTGCTTGCCCATCCAACCCAATTCCCTCAAATCTCTGCCTAGTTTTCCCTCATAGTCGTTATCATCTGTAACAAATTATAGCATTTATTTATTATGTCAACACCACCACCACCACCCCTCCCCACCCCGTTTCTCTCCCTGTGACCGGTTCCTTGTGGATCCTTTCAGAGATCATACATATGGCAAACAGGTTATGTAGGGTCATGGTTAGGAGCATGGGCTCTGGAGATAGGCTGCCTGAATTTAAATCCTGGTTTGTCACTTATGAGCTTCAGATAAGTTACTTAACCTCTCTGTGCCTCCATATTTCCATCTATAAAATGGGCATAATAATAATATCTACCCATAGAAGGTTGTGAGGATTAAATGAGTCAATATATGTAAAGAAGTGAGAATAGAGTCTGGCATGTAATAAGTGCTCAATAAGTGTTTGCTGTTATTTTTTGTGAGTCAGCACTAAAATCTTACAAAGGAAGGTCATCCATATTTACTTCAACCATTTGACCACAAAGTGGCCTGTGTGGCCCTAGACAAGTCCCTTCCCCTTTCTGACCTCAGTTGCCTATTTTATGGAATGAAGGTAGAGCAAACATTCCCAAGGGCCTGACAAGCAATGACTTTTCCTGACAAACTTTTAAAAATAACTTTTCTTGGGTCAGCCCGTGGCTCACTTGGGAGAGCGTGGTGCTGACAACACCAAGGCCGTGGGTTCAGATCCCTATATAGGGATGGCTGGTTGGCTCGCTTGGGAGAGCGTGGTGCTGACAACACCAAGTCAAGGATCAAGGTCCCCTTACTGGTCTTTTTAAAAAATAAATAAATAAATAAATAAAATAACTTTATTGTTACTCTAAATGAAATATGTTTATTCCCCTCACCATAAGAATGGAAGCTCCATAGGGCAGAGACTTTCTGTTTTGTTTCCTGCTGTATCCCCATGGCCTGGCTGAGTGCGGGATATACAGGTGAACACAGCAGGCCTGGTCTCTACTCTTTCAGAGCTCAGAGGGACAAGAGAAGTTGACTCACCCATGTAGACACAGAGATCAAAGCAGCAACAAATACCCATTCTTCTAACTGTGGAGTCAGGTGGGGGTTGGGTCCTAGCCCTGGCTCCCCCTTGCTGTGTGACATGGGAAAGGAATGGCCCCTCACTAAGCCTCCATTTACCCATCCATGAAATGGGTACAATTCTTGGGCTTACCCAAAACAAAAATGAGCAAAGGGTGTGAGCAGGTAGTTCACATAACAGGAAATACAAGTGCCAATAAGCATAGAAACTTATGTGCCACATCAAGGAAATAAGGAGGGAGACATACTAATTAATACAGAACACAGATTTTCCCCCATAAAATTGGCAAAATGAAAACGATCAATAGCATCTGTTGTTTGGTGACGGGGTAAAAAACAGGCATCTCAAAAGTTGCTGTTAGAAATGTTAGTAAGGGGTGTGTTAATGGAAGGAAGTGTGGCAGTGTCCATTAAAAGTTTTTAAATGAGAATGCTATAATGACCAAGAAATTCTATTTCTAGGAATGGACTCCACAGAAATACATATGTATATGCACAAAGAGGCAAATACAAGGACATTACTGTATCAAGGTTCTTAATAGTAAAAGAATTGGAGAGCTAACAATAGGTTTAGATTACGAGAGTCCCCACAATGGAATCTTATATGCAGCTATTAAGAATAATATAGTGATATAAAAATATATTATTTAAATTGAGATGAAATGGACAAATTCCTAGACAAATACAACTTAGCAAAACTGACACAGGAGAAAACAGAAAAGCTAAATAGTACTATAACTATCAAAGAAATTCAATCCTTAATTTAATACTCCCTATTAAAAAATCTCCAGACAACAGAGGCCCTCCCTGGACATGGGATGGTTCAAGTCCCCACAGTCAGGGGCCATAGCCTCCTAAATGATCCATCTGCTAACTGGACAGCTGACACACTGAAGGTAGCATGGGAAGCTCAGGTAGCTGTATGCTTCCAGAGGCCCCTAAACTGAGCATTGCTAGATTTAGCAAATAATAATATAGGACACCCAGTTAAATGCGAAGTTCAGATACACAACAGATAATTTTTTTGTTTTGTTTTTAAAGATGAGCGGTAAGGGGATCTTAATCCTTGACTTGGTGTTGTCAGCACCACGCTCACCCAGTGAGCAACCGGCCATCCCTATATGGGATCCAAACCCGTGGCCTTGGTGTTATCAGCACCGCACTCTCCCGAGTGAGCCACGGGCCGGCCCTAGATGATTTTTTAAAAGAAGTGATAAAAACTGCATACATATACAGTTGTGTGTCACTCAACATGCAGACGTTCTCAGAAATGCGTTAGGCAAGGGCCGGCCCGTGGCTCACTTGGGAGAGTGTGGTGCTGACAACACCAAGTCAAGGGTTAAGATCCTCTTACCGGTCATCTTTTTTAAAAAAAGAAAGAAAGAAATGCATTAGGCGATTTCAGCCTTGTGCAAACATCTCTACTTACAGAAACCTAGATGGTATAACTTACTACACACCTGGGCTATATGGTATAGCCTATTGCTCCAACCACTGTTATATATGCAGTCCATCATTGACTGAAATGTCATTATGCAGCACAACTGTGTTAGTCCAATTTATGTAAATAACTATGTATTTATATATTTATTTAAATTCATATGTGTATGCAAACACATAAATAAGATGGAAGGAGACATGGAAAACTGCTGATTATGATGACTTTCGAGAGAAGGGATTTGGGGGCTGTCCCTTTCTATACTATTCCCAGTTTTATGAAACTGTATTTATGAACAAACATAACTCAATCAAAGGTCAGACTCATTAAAGTAAAATAGCCAATGGTAGGAAGATGATGTTGAGACCGACTCTGGGACCTGCCATCTAGTTCTGGACACTGCTACATCCAAATCAAACAGAAGGTGCTCAATAAATGTTAGTCCAAAGGAAAAGGAGCATTTCTCTCATTTTGCCATGGAACGAGAGACAGTCCACACATATGTAACATTGTGCATTTATTTACAAAGAGGTTAGAGAAACACAGAATCTGGCCCCCCTGTGCACCGGGGAGTCACCATCATCATAATAAATACAGTAATTTTTTAAAAGAAAAATATATATTGGATTGGAACAGCTGAGGGTCATCTGGCTTCCGCCACTATTCACGGGGAGGGGCACATGATAGAAACCATCTTCCTTCCCCTCTTCTACCTTCCAATCCTCCGTAATTGTCCAGGGATGGAGGTGAAAGAGCCCTTCTTTCTAGGTGTTGCCAACTCCTACTTGACCCTCAAAACCCCCAAATCAGTGCTCCTCCCCTTTCTAGGGCACTCTGCAGGCACCACCTGAGTCAGACACAGGGTCTCTGATCAGGGTGCCAAGGGGAGATCCTAAGGATCCAGGGACGTGGAGGGGGCACTTTGTGAATGAGAGGGGGCCAATATCTGGGCATGGAAAGTAGGAATGAGAGGGCTCAGTGAGAGAAGTGAAGGGGAACAAACAGACTAAGCTTCTAAACTAAAATGGGGAAATTCCAACTGAATGTCCTCTTTTGCATACATGGACACCCATTGTACAGATGAGGAAAGTGAGGCCCAGAGAAGGGGAACTTCCTTGCCCAAGGGCTTCAGAGCCAGAAGCTGGACTAGTTCAGTGTTCCTTCCCCATCCCTCTCTGTGATAGAGGGAGAGTCTTTTCACCAAGACTACTACGGACGGAGGAAGCGAGGAGGGTCTTTGGAAGTAGAGAAAACGGCGGTCTTTGGAAGGTAGGTGTGGAAGGGTCAGTGATTGGCAGTGTGGAGGGCAGAGGCCATGAAGGGGGAGCCACGCAAATCTCCAAACTCACACGGTAGTCATGACCTTGAGAGAACCCGAGCGGAAACGCAGTATCTTTTTTTTCAGCGCGTGGGATGCCTTGATCTTCACAAAGACTTTGGCGGGGCCCGCGGGCGCCCCTCCACCTGCACCACCCCCTGGCCCGGAGGCCGCGGTGGCCGCCACTAGCTGCTGCGGCCACACGAGGCCACCGCTGCCGTCTGAGTCGCTGGACGCAGAGCTGAAGGCAGGCGACTCGCCCTCGCTGGCGCTCGACTCACTCTCCCCGTAGCCGCCGCCAACGCCGCCTGGAGGCCCACGGCGTCCGAGAGGCCCCAGGCGCCCGGCCGAGCACTCCGAGTCGCTGCCCGCGCAGCCGTAGAGCAGACGACGCCGAGGAGCTGA